ATTGACCAAGTCATCTGGGTCAAGAGACGGTTTCTTAAGCAGAGGTTTAATTACAGCAACCTTAAAAGCTTTAGGTACATATCCCTGTAACAGAGATAGATTAATCACATCTAAAATGGAGGAGGAGATCAAAGGGAATACCTCCTTAAATAACCTGGTTGGAACTGGATCTAACATACAAGTTGAAGGCTTAGATGAAGACAATAATTTTGCTAATTCAGAGAGTTCAACTGGATCAAAGCAGTCTAAACCCGGTTCAGATTCCAGGACTACCTCAGGTACAATCGCGGATAGAGGAGTGCTTATGATCTTATTTTTAATAAGATCAATCTTATTTATAAAGAATCCCATAAAATCATTGCTGCTAAGAGCAGGTGGAATGGACGGTTCAACAGAGCTATGGCTCTGGGTGAGTTTGGCAACTGTATTAAAAAGAAATCTAGGATTATTCTTATTCTCCTCTATTAATGAGGAGAAGTATGCTGCTCTTGCTTTACAAAGAGTCCTCTTATACAGCAGTAAACCATTTTTCCAGACTAGGAAGGACTCTCGCAGGCCTGTGGAGCGATATTTTCTCTCCAGTTTCCTAGCATTTTGCTTCAAAGTACGCAGCTCTGCATTAAACCAAGGAGCAAGCTTTCTATTTTTAACGGTTTTCATTTTCAAAGGAGCTGCGTTGTCTAAGGCAATACGCAGAGAACTAGCAACCCCATCAACAAAATCATCAACCTGTGAAGGGGAATAAGCTAAGCTTTTGCACTCTGCAGCACTGCTCAGTGACACAGAGGAGAGAGAAAGTGAAGCAGATTCTTTAAAATTTATAACTGCACTATCTGATAAAGATCTACTAAAATTGAACCTTCTTTTGGGGGAGGAGAACTCTGTTAAAGTAATCCTGAAGGTTATTGGAAAGTGGTCAGAGAGGACTGGGTTGTGAGGAAATACTGTTATTTCTTCACATTCTATGCCGTATGTCAGCACAAGATCCAAAGTATGAAGATGAGAATGCGTGGGACTATTCACATTTTGAACAAAGCCAATAGTGTCTAAGATAGCATTAAAGGCTGCTCTTAAGCTATCGCCTTCAATGTCAGCATGGATGTTAAAATCTCCCACTATGATGACCCTGTCAGTATTTAATACCAAATCAGAAAGGAACTCTGAAAACTCATCTAAAAATTCAGAGTAAGGACCTGGTGGACGATACAAAGTTACAAAAAGAAGAGGTTTTCTTGCCTTGAAATTTGGATCAGGGAAATTAAGGGTTAAATGTTCAAAAGAGTTGTAGGTATTAATTGTTTTGGGAGTAATCAGTAAGTCAGACTGGAAGATTGTTGCTACTCCTCCTCCTCGCCCAGAACTTCTGGGGATGTGAAAATTTAAATAGCTTGAAGGAGTTGCCTCATTTATGCTCACATAATCCTCTTGCTGCAGCCAGGTTTCTGTAAGGCAAAACAAGTCAATGTGATTATCACTAATCAAGTCATTAACTAGCAGACTTTTAGAGGAAAGCGATCTTATGTTAAACAGACCGCATTTAATTGTTTTAACTTTTTCCCCAATTGGAGTTATTTTGATTTTAATTAGATTATCATGATTTACTCCTTTGGGAATCTTTGCTAATTTATTAGATTTTGGTCGTGGGCAAGACACTGTCTGGATGGAGTAAAGAGTGGGTAACAGTAGAGAAGCTGCAGAGATGTGTGTTAAACTACAACTCTGCTTCCTGGTCTGCACCCTGGGTGGTCAGGGTTTTGGAGGACTAATAAATGTGGCCAGATTCCTAGAAAGAAGAGCTGCACCATCCAAAGTGGGAAGGATGCCGTCTCTCCGAATCAGACCAGGCTTTCCCCAAAAGGATTGCCAATTATTAATGTAGCCCACGTTGTTTTCAGGACACCACCTAGACAACCAGCGATTGAATGACGACATGCGGCTAAACATGTCATCACTGGTCAGATCAGGGAGGGGACTAGAGAAAATTACGGAGTCCGACATTTTTTTGGCAAACTTACACACCGAAGCCACACTAATTTTAGTGACCTCCGATCGGCGTAAGTTCAGTTCTTTATTCCTAAAAAGTTAAAATCAATCCTCTGGACTTTGTTTCCAAGTCTGAAGACGTTTCTCTTCCATCCAGGAAGTTTTTTTCAATTCAAAATGTCATTAATAGCGTTTAGTTCCAGGTTTTATCCAGCAGCCCAACAAAGCCTGGTTTTAGTTTAGAAAAAGTCAAAAATCTTCCTGGATGGAAGAGAAACGTCTTCAAACCTGGAAACAAAGCCCAGTGGATTGATTTGAACTTTTTGGAACGACTGACCAGGATGACTGATGATCTTCACCTGCATTCAGTTCTATAGATAAAGTCACACTAGATTCTCTTTCCTGCGTTGATCTCATCTGGACGGCGCCATTTCCATGTCTGCAGGCTTGGCTGAAGTTTATGACGTCGCTGTCTTTCCCCGTAGGTCAGGTCCTCCAGGAGTCGAAGGTTTTTCTCCTTCACCATGGCGGGGGTCATCATGATTCCCTCATTTTCTGCCTGAAGGTGCGCATGGTGAACTATCACCGGACTCCTGTCATCTCTGAGCAACATACCCAGCTTGCTTTTTTCATCTGGAGCAATCTGCCCAAATATGAGGAAGAGCTGCTTCTTTAGATCCTCTACGGACTCGTTGGAGGATTCCTGTAAGTTAAAACGCTTCGGATAAAGATGAACATCATTGGAGGCCAGGTCAACCAGACTTTCTAAACCCTAGAAGGGGAAAGGATGGCAGCTGGTCACTGCTGATAGCGCCTCAGAGTCAGTTCCAGCAGAAAGAGTTAGAATCACTTTGATGAGCCGTTCATTGCGCCTCCACTCCGGTGCTACAGGTGTCAGCGCTACGCGCACCTGGCAGCAGTTTGAAGGGGAAAGCAAAGGCGTTCAAAATGCAGAGAAGAACCCATGGAGGAAAGTGTAGAAATGTGCTGCAGCTGTGGAGGCAGCACAGGGTTAACTATGGGGGACAGAGAGAGAGCAGTGGAAACACAACAGGATAGAACTACAACAACTAGAAGCTACGCAGAAGCAGGGAAGAGAGTTCAAGGACAAAGGAAGGAAAATGAATCAGAATAAGTAGAAAGAGAAGATAATTTCACTGCGAAACCAGAGAAACTCATTTTATTTCTAATCCCTGAGCAGAAGGCAGAGAATCATTGAGAGGAGATGAAATGTTTGGGAAAATATAGTTAGAAGGTTGGAGATGGAGGGAAGAACAGGACCATCAGGTTATTCGCTCAGGTTTCAACAATATAAAATAATTAACAGTAAATGGATCACGGACTGGTCCGGTTCGTTGGACAGACAGACGTCACATCGACGGCTCCTCTCTGCTCAGACCAGGTCCAGTCCGGGTCTCCTAGACCTCGCATCCCCTCCATGCTATAAACAGCCTGTCTGTAAAAGTTCAAATCAATCCACTGGACTTGGTTTCCCAGGTTTGAAGACGTTTCGCTTCCCATCCAGGAAGCTTTCTCAGTTCAAATGTCTGGATCCGCAGTGAGTTTGAGTCTTTATAGACAAAGCCTTGTATCGCTGGGAAACAAAATAGAAACCGATTAATGGGTCGTTTGGTTCCATTGTTAGCCTGTAATACCTGAAACCTGTCTATGATTCTGAGGGTTGGTCATTAAAGGGGGGGGGGGGGGGGGGGGGGTTGTCGTTAAAGGGGACTTAAACAGAGGCTAGTTCATCCCAAAGATAAAACCCCCAATATGAGCGGAGTGGTTTATGCTGTTCAGTGCAGCGAGGAATGCTCTGATCTTTATATTGGCGAAACAAAACAACCTCTCCACAGACACATGGCCCAACACAGAAGAGCGCCCTCCTCTGGACAAGACTCTGCTCTACATCTACACCTGATGGACAAAGGACATTCTTTGGAGGACCAGAATGTTCACATTTTGGATAAAGAAAATAGGTGGTTTGAGAGGAAGGAAGCATCTATGTGAAGAGAGAAAAACCAACTTTAAACGGGGGGGGGGGGGGGGGGGGGGGGTCAGATTCCAGCTTCCAAAAACATACAATTGAATCATAGACATGATCCCTTCTAGATATCACCCCCCCCCCACCCACCCACCCCATCACAGAGGAACGAGGGACCTACCTACTGCCGGTGAACAATCCCTCCTTAACGACCGACCCTCAGAATCATAGACAGGTTTCAGGTATTACAGGCTAACAATGGAACCAAACGACCCATTAATCTGTTTCCATTTGCATGTTTCCCAGCAATACCAGGCTTTGTCTATAAAGACTAAACTCACTGCAGATCCAGACATTTGAATTGAGAAAGCTTCCTGGATGGAAGCGAAACGTCTTCAAACCTGGGAAACAAAGTCCAGTGGATTGTTTTGAACTTTTACGGAATGACTCTGACCTGGATGACTGAGAACCTTCATCAGCACATAAACAGTCTTCATCGCCGCTAGACGGCCTGAAGTCCAGAACCGGTTCGGTCCGTTCCAACCGTCTGCCTTTGCTCAGGTGGATCTGCTGAACGTGGCTGAAACCGTCTACTTCCTGCTGACCAACAGCCGGTTGGTTCCGGTGGAGGGCAGCAGCAGATGGACGGCGGTCCGGTTCAGTGCAGATGGACCCTGGTTCTGATACCGGCCCAGTTTCTGATGCTACTGCATGGACTGGTGGACTCCTGATTGGCTGACCTGATTCTTCTTCTTCTGTGCAGCAACAGCCAGACATGGAGGAGGTTGTTCCAGCTGCTGCTCATCACTGTTGCTGCTGGAGGAGCAGCAGCAACAGTGGAAACATCCCAGATGCTTCTGCTGGATCGGGTTCATTTCAGATGGATTATTATTTAAGCTCCAGTCAGAAGATTAAAACAGGAACCAGAAGAACCGTGGTTTGATGGGTTCTGGCTGCTGAGTCACATTCTACTGTGCCCTGGAGGGAGAGCCAGACATGCTGCAGCCTGCAGAGGAGCCTCCTCTGTGCTCCACCCTGGGGGGAGGAGAGGGGGAGGTTCTGTTCTGCTGCAGACTTTAGGTTCCGATTAGAAAGTGGACCTTCTGCTTAGAGACCATCTGATCTAAGAGCTGCAGGTTTTCTTTCCACCAAATTCAGAATAAATAGATCATGGTACCGACGCCCCGCCCCCTCCCCCTACCTGCGACAAGGTGAGACGGGACGGAGATGTGGGGGAGGGATCTGAGCAGAGAGGCAGTCTGAGGAGAGCAGTGGGGAGACTTGGACTCAACGGGACTCTACAGGCAGGTAAAGACATGGGAGGCAGAACCTGATCTGGATTCCAGTTCTGCTGTGAAGGTTCTGTTCTGGTCCACATTCAGGTCGTTCCTAAGAACCTTCAACTCCTTTTCATGAGCAAACACATTCGGTTGGTTCTGTAAAAAACTCCTTGACTTGTTCTGAGGGTGAAGATCTGTTTCAGAACCAGAACCTGATCCAGCTGGATCTCATCTAACAGAACCTGAACACACCTGGCTGTTCTGAGAGCAGCATCTGACCCGGTCCACTTCAGAACCTTGGCTTGGTTCTCCAGCTTTGCTTTTTGACTTTGGTCAGTCAGGCCAGAAGCGGGTCTTACCAGTTTAGACTGGTCTGGGCCCAGTCACTGAGCTTTTAACACTTTATGGTTCTGATTAGGTCCAAGGATTCAGCAGGTGTGCCCCCTGTTGGTCAGTCATTACAGGGAGCACCTCCTCTACCCATTTGGAACCCAGTAAGGTACCAGTATAACCATTATGACAGTGAATGAACAGAAATCACTGAAGGTTCTGAAATACTGACATGCAAAGATTTTATTCCCATTTATTTTGGTTCCGCTCCAGCTTGGAGCAGTGGACAGGTTCTGACCCCTGGCTGTCATTTATTAGACTTTGTTTTCTAACAGAACCAGTCTGGATCAGTGCTAGTCAGAGCGGGTCAGGAAGATCAAACGGTACAGAACTCTCAGCCTCTTATACCAAAAAAGTAATGAAAATCATAATCAAACTGTTAGGAGCCAGTAGTAGAGGGATATGTGGCCTTAGCTCGCTTCTGGCCATGTTTAAGGATGGCTTTTTCTGGTTCTAGACTGGTTCTGAACCTGTTTTAGGAAGGCTTGTCTTGTTCAGGACTGGTTCTGATCCTGTTTTAGAAAGGCTTTTCTGGTTCTAGACTGGTTCTGGCCTTATTTTGGAAGGCTTTTCTGGTTCTAGACTGGTTCTGGCCTTGTTTTAGAAAGGCTTGTCTTGTTCTAGACTGGTTCTGGCCTTATTTTGGAAGGGTTTTCTGGTTCTAGACTGGTTCTGGCCTTGTTTTAAGAAGGCTTGTCTTGTTCTACACTGGTTCTGGCCTTGTTTTAGAAAGGCTTGTCTAGTTGTAAACTGGTTCTAGCCTTGATTTAGGAGGGATTGTCTTGTTCTAGACTGGTTCTGGCCTTATTTTGGAAGGCTTCTCTGGGTCTAGACTTGTTCTAGCCTTGTTTTAGGAAGGCTTGTATTGTTCTACACTGGGTCTAGCCTTGATTTAGGCTTTTCTTGTTCTAGACTGGTTCTGGCCTTGCTTTAGGAAGGCTTTTCTGTGTCTAGACTGGTTCTACTTTTGTTTCAGGGAGGTTTTTGTGGTTCTAGACTGGTTCTGGCCTTGTTTTAGGAAGGCTTGTCTTGTTCAGGACTGGTTCTGATGCTGTTTTAGAATGGTTTTTCTGGGTCTAGACTGGTTCTGGCCTTGTTTTAGGAAGGCTTGTCTTGTTTTAGACTGGGTCTAGCCTTGCTTTAGGCTTGTCTTGTTCTACACTGGTTCTGGCCTTGTTTTAGAAAGGCTTGTCTAGTTGTAAACTGGTCCTAGCCTTGATTTAGGAGGGATTGTCTTGTTCTAGACTGGTTCTGGCCTTATTTTGGAAGGCTTCTCTGGTTCTAGACTGGTTCTGGCCTTGTTTTAGGAAGGCTTGTCTTGTTCAGGACTGGTTCTGATGCTGTTTTAGAAAGGTTTTTCTGGGTCTAGACTGGTTCTAGCCTTGTTTTAGGAAGGCTTGTCTTGTTCTACACTGGGTCTAGCCTTGATTTAGGCTTTTCTTGTTCTAGACTGGTTCTGGCCTTGGTTTAGGAAGGCTTTTCTGTGTCTAGACTGGTTCTACTTTTGTTTCAGGGAGGTTTTTGTGGGTCTAGACTGGTTCTAGCATTGGTTTAGGAAGGCTTGTCTTGTTCTAGACTGGTTCTAGCCTTGTTTTAGGAAGGCTTGTCTTATTCTACACTGATTCTAGCCTTGTTTTAGGAAGGCTTGTCTTGTTCTACACTGGTTCAGGCCTTGTCTTAGGAAGGCTTTTTGATTTTTCTAGACTGGTTCTGGCCTTGCTTTAGGAAGGCTTTTCTGTGTCTAGACTGGTTCTAACCTTGGTTTAGGGGGCTTGTCTTGTTCTACACTGGTTCTGGCCTTGTTTTAGAAAGGCTTGTCTAGTTGTAAACTGGTTCTAGCCTTGATTTAGGAGGGATTGTCTTGTTCTAGACTGGTTCTGGCCTTATTTTGGAAGGCTTCTCTGGGTCTAGACTTGTTCTAGCCTTGTTTTAGGAAGGCTTGTCTTGTTCTACACTGGGTCTAGCCTTGATTTAGGCTTTTCTTGTTCTAGACTGGTTCTGGCCTTGGTTTAGGAAGGCTTTTCTGTGTCTAGACTGGTTCTACTTTTGTTTCAGGGAGGTTTTTGTGGGTCTAGACTGGTTCTAGCCTTGGTTTAGGAAGGCTTGTCTTGTTCTAGACTGGTTCTAGCCTTGTTTTAGGAAGGCTTGTCTTATTCTACACTGATTCTAGCCTTGTTTTAGGAAGGCTTGTCTTGTTCTACACTGGTTCAGGCCTTGTCTTAGGAAGGCTTTTTGATTGTTCTAGACTGGTTCTGGCCTTGCTTTAGGAAGGCTTTTCTGTGTCTAGACTGGTTCTAACCTTGGTTTAGGGGGCTTGTCTTGTTCTACACTGGTTCTGGCCTTGTTTTAGAAAGGCTTGTCTAGTTGTAAACTGGTTATAGCCTTGATTTAGGAGGGATTGTCTTGTTCTAGACTGGTTCTGGCCTTATTTCGGAAGGCTTCTCTGGGTCTAGACTTGTTCTAGCCTTGTTTTAGGAAGGCTTGGCTTGTTCTACACTGGGTCTAGCCTTGATTTAGGCTTTTCTTGTTCTAGACTGGTTCTGGCCTTGCTTTAGGAAGGCTTTTCTGTGTCTAGACTGGTTCTACTTTTGTTTCAGGGAGGTTTTTGTGGGTCTAGACTGGTTCTAGCCTTGGTTTAGAAAGGCTTGTCTTGTTCTAGACTGGTTCTAGCCTTGTTTTAGGAAGGCTTGTCTTATTCTACACTGATTCTAGCCTTGTTTTAGGAAGGCTTGTCTTGTTCTACACTGGTTCAGGCCTTGTCTTAGGAAGGCTTTTTGATTGTTCTAGACTGGTTCTGGCCTTGCTTTAGGAAGGCTTTTCTGTGTCTAGACTGGTTCTACTTTTGTTTTAGGGAGGTTTTTGTGGGTCTAGACTGGTTCTAACCTTGGTTTAGGGGGGTTGTCTTGCTCTAGACTAGTTCTGACCTTGCTTTAGGAAGGCTTTTCTGGGTCTAGACTTGTTCTAGCCTTGTATTAGGAAGGCTTGTCTAGTTGTAAACTGTTTCTAGCCTTGATTTGGGAGGGATTGTCTTGTTCTAGACTGGTTCTGGCCTTATTTTGGAAGGCTTTTCTGGGTCTAGACTTGTTCTAGCCTTGTTTTAGGAAGGCTTGTCTTTTTCTGTACTAGTTCTGGCCTTGTTTTAGGAAGGCTTGTCTTGTTCTAGACTTGTTCTGGCCTTGTTTTAGCAAGGCTTGTCTTGTTCTAGACTGGTTCTACTTTTGTTTTAGGGAGGTTTTTGTGGGTCTAGACTGGTTCTAGCCTTGTATTAGGAAGGCCTGTCTTGTTCTAGACTGGTTCTAGCCTTGTATTAGGAAGGCTTGTCTTGTTCTAGACTGGTTCTAGCCTTGCTTTAGGAAGGCTTGTCTTGTTCTAGACTGGTTCTAGCCTTGCTTTAGGAAGGCTTGTCTTGTTCTAGACTGGTTCTACTTTTGTTTTAGGGAGGTTTTTGTGGGTCTAGACTGGTTCTAGCCTTGTATTAGGAAGGCTTGTCTTGTTCTAGACTGGTTCTAGCCTTGCTTTAGGAAGGCTTGTCTTGTTCTAGACTGGTTCTACTTTTGTTTTAGGGAGGTTTTTGTGGGTCTAGACTAGTTCTAGCCTTGTATTAGGAAGGCTTGTCTTGTTCTAGACTGGTTCTAGCCTTGCTTTAGGAAGGCTTGTCTTGTTCTAGACTTGTTCTGGCCTTGTTCTTGCTGTAGAGCCACTTTCTCATTTGGATACATTCTTTACACATATTTCACCAGTCACGGAAACTAAGGACACAAGTCAGTTTTTTTTTTTGACATTTTGACTCTTTCACTAATTTGATAAGTTTGATTTCCAAGTTTTTGGAGGATGTGTCAGACATGAAAATCCAATTCTTTTTGTGGAGAGTCCACGCTATCTGAAAGAAGGCAGATTAAAAAAGCTCATGTGGAGGAATCTCAATCTAAAGACAGCCCTTCTCACTTCTACCAGCTGCTGGGAATGATAATGAGGCTTGTTTACATCTCATTAGGAGAAGCTAGACCCACTGTAAAGCTGTGAAGTACAGGGGGGAGCAAAAGGGCAGAGGCTCAAATCTAAAAGCTCATGGAGAAACTCCAGGACTGCTTTGAATGTTCTGACTGAAACATGTTGAAAGCTACAAAACTGACATTAATAAGATCAGTTTAGATGAGTATGCAGTGACTGTGTCAGCCTACATCAACAAAGGCATTGAGGACGTCAGCATCACAAAGAACATCACCACCCGGGCCAACCAACCACCCTGGATAAATGGAGAGGTTCAGAAATCGCTAAAAGCACCGAACTCAGCTTTCAGGTCTGTTGATAAAGAGGCTCTGAGGACAGCGCATGGAAACTTAAACCATCAGATCAGGGAAGCAGAACCACAGCCAGAAGATCCAGGATCTTTTCCTCAACGACAGCAACACCAGGAGGATGTGGAAAGGCATTCGGATGATCACAGACTACAACACTATTACCATATTACTACCATTATTCCAGTCCCAAAGAAGCCTCAGGTCGCCTCCCTCAATGATTAGCGGCCTGTCGCTCTGACTCCCATCATGATGAAGTGCTTCCAAAGGCTGGTTAAAGAACACATCGTCTCCAGTCTGCCGCCAACATTCCACCCGTTCCAGTTCGCCTACCGACGGAACCGCTCCACTGAGGACGCCATCTCTGCTGCTCTCCAGCAGGACTACAGAGAGGAGGTGGAGCAGCTGGTGGAGCAGAGATAACAGCCTGATCCTGAAGGTGGAGAAGACCAAGGAGATCATGGTGGACTTCAGGAAGAAGCGTCCTAACCACGCTCCACTGCTCATCAACAGCTCAGCTGTAGAGGTGGTCAGCAGCACCACATTCATCACAGACACCCTCACCTGGACTGGAAACACCACCTCACTGGTCCAAAGGGCCCAGAAGCGCTTGGACTTCCTGCGGAGGATGAGGAGAGCCCACCTGCCCCCCCCATCCTCCCCCCCATAGAGAGCGTTCTGAGCAGCTGTCTCACTGTGTGGTGTGGAGGCTGCAGCGCCTCAGACTGGAAGAAGGTGAGAACAGCAGAGAGGATCATGGGGGCTCCTCTTCCCTCCATTAAAGACATTTCATCCCAGCGCTGCGTGTCCCGTGACATCATCAATGACCCCTCACCCCCCCACCATGGACTGTTCTCCCTGCTGCCCTCTGGGAACAGGCTTCCCAGCATTCAATGCAGGACCAGCAGGTTCTGCAGCAGCTTCTTCCCCACCGCCATCACACTGATGAACTTGTATAAAATGGTGTTTTTACGGAAAAAAAGTGCTGAATGTTAGAATCTGTAAATCATATACCAGCCTTATGTTTACATTAAGTCACTGCTGCACTGAAGATGGAAATATCTGGAGAACCGTCCTGAACGACATTTCTTTTTGTTTACACTCTGTGTACAAAACGACAATAAAGTCTGTCTAAGTCTAAAGAACCTGGTTAAAGGGAATACCTCCTTAAATTACCTGGTTAAAGGGAAGACCTCCTTAAATTACCTGGTTGGAACTGGATCTAACATCCAAGTTGAAGCTTAGATGAAGACAATAGTTTTGCTAACTCTGAAAGTTCAACTGAATCAAAGCAGTCTAAACCCGGTTCAGATTCCATCACTACCTCAGATGCTGCACCCCCGATCCTAGCTTTTTGCTCCAGAGTGCGCAGCTCTGCATTTGGAGAAAAATAGAACAAGAATCTTTAAACCAGAATTTTCTAAAAAAGAAAAATAAAAGCTTGAAATATTTTGCACAGAAAACAGACCGTTCCTGATCATCTCCTCCTCCTCATTCCACCTTCTTCCTATTGCCCATCCGCCCTCCCTCTTTCTCCTCCTCCTCCAGCTCCTCCTCCTCCCCCCTCCCTCCTGTTTGCTCACAGGGAGTGGAAGAGGATGTAGCAGACCCGATCCGGTCAGCACAGGGTGAGGATGATGATGATGAGCTTCATCTTCTCTGTATTTCCTTACAGGCTGGGCCGAACGGGACGGATTTGGACCGGACTGAACTGAGGCTCAGAACCATCAGCTCGGTCTCAGGTGAGACACAGAGAAAGGTTTGCAGGAAGTTCAGCAGGCAGAACAGAACCTCTGCTGTTCCGAGCCTGAAGGTTTGTGGACCTGTTGGGATTCTGAGCAGATCTAATGTGCTGGAAGGTTTTGGGCTCCGTTCTTCAAAGTTTTCTAAACCTGAAATCAGGGAAACTCAGAGTTTTCCGTTTCCTCATCCTCTGTTTCTGTTGCCATGGTAACATCCTCCCAGAGCTAACCTGGTCAGCAGCAGGTTTCCTTCAGTCTGTCTCCGCTCTGCTTACAGCCAGTGATGCAGTGGTTAGCATACACAACCCATGTATGGAGGCCTTAGTCCTTGACGTGGTCGACCCGGGTTCGAATCCGACCTTTGGTCCTTTGCCGCATGTCTCTCCCCCTTTCCTATAAAAATAAATGTTCAGAATGAATTTATAGAAATGATTCTACAACTCAGTGACAGGATGTGAAATTACTTGTTTTTGGTTTGTTTAATATGAGCGAAATGCAGATCACTTTATTTTCCATTAAGTTATGTTTACAGAACATGAAGAACAACTGAAATTATTTTCAGATTACAGATAAATAGATTAATAATTAATTGAGAGGGAAAATGAATTACTTCAGGATTAGGATTCACTCGATGGTAACAACCTACTGAGCCTAAAGGCCCAACCTGGAGCCATTCTATGGGACTGATAGCCGCTAATAACGACCATTTATTGGGACGATAACTTTGGAAGAGGCTGCAAACAAACACTTGATATTTACTGTGAAAGAGACTGAATCAACATGAGGAAGAACCCATGAGATGATGAACAGGTTCTATTTATTATTTCTCATCCTCATCTGCTGCCAGAAGATTTCACTTAAATAGAACCATTGATCTACTAGCATTCAAAAAAAATATCCCGTAATCTTATCTTGGTCACAACACATATGGCAAGTTGTTTTTATATGTAATAGTTTTACTGATTATGTATTACTGATGTCAGAAAAAAATATTTTCTCTTCGTCTAAATGACCATTTCAAACTAAACGACATTCTCCACATCTAAAATAAACATTTTGGACTTCTAGAAATTATTTCAAATCTTCATACTCCTAATTTTACTGCACAGCATGTGTTTTATTTTAACTATGAAAAATCTTTTTCAGAAATCATAAATACCATTTCAATCGAGCTGATAAATGTCAGAACAGCCACTTAAAATGTGAAAACATTCTAGATTTATAAAACTTCATTCTTGCTGGTATAATTTTGTTTTGTTTTTTTCACTTTCTAAAATTCAGTTTCTGATACAAAAATGTAATTTAGAAAATAAATTATTAAAGTTCAGTCTAGGTGTGTGATTTTGGATTAGGAAGAACCCTTTTTTGTTTAGTGATCCAGAAATGGAACAACAGAGAGGAGAGTGCTTTTAATAAATGTTAAAACGGCCTGCCGTAGCTCACTTCATATAAACCTACACATTAACTGGAACAACAATGTCCTCCTTCTCCATCTTCCTGTCCTTTGCAGCTGTTTCTCTGTCTTTTTATCACATTCCTCAGTTTTCATTCAAATCTAATTCCGGTGGGCTGCTGCCATCAACACCTTTGTTTCTAGATGTTGGAGCTTGGCCTGTTTTCCAGTGTAGTCCTGTTTCTCTGACTGTGACTAACTGGATGTGCTCTCTTCATCCTCTGACATGGGAGCTGGCTCGGAGCTCGTCTGCCTGGCTGTGTGTTTCCTGGACGGGGCCGCCTGTGGAGCTGGTTGACAGTTGCCTTTTGTATCTATGCTTCTTTTTCTATGTCTGCTTCTGTCTCCTTGAACCCCAGTGGGCCTCAGCAGATGGCCGCTCACACTGAGCCTGGTTCTGCTGGAGGTTTCTTCCTGTTCAAAGGGAGTTTTTCCTCTCCACTGTCGCTACAAGCATGCTTAGTGTGAGGGATTGCTGAAGAGTCAATGAGTCGATGCAATCAGCTGGTTTTCCTTAGAAAACTTTGAATCAATCTGACTGGATGATCTGGTTGATCTGGATCTATAAAGTGACCTGAGATGACCTGATGTGAATTTGGCGCTAAAGAAATAAACTGAATTTAATTGAATAGAATTGTGGTGAAATAGACCCTTCCTGTTGCCTGTTGTCCTGGTGACTCGTTGAATCGGGGCTCCACTGATAACGGCTTTTCATACTTGTTCCACACGTGTTAAATTCTGAGTGGTTTAGTTAAAATTGATTTAACTCTGATAGCACTTTAGGCCAGATCAATTTAGAGTTGAGGATTTGAGGAATCTGAGTTTGTTAAACCTGCTTTGTGAAACGGATCCCTGGGAGACATGAGGAGGCAGTGGAAGCATGTCACGGTTGGAACAATTGGTTATTACATAAGTATGATATAAACCTGACAGGAACGTTTCCATGATGAACAGGAGGTCCTTCCTTCCTAAACAACCAAGAGAGCAGCTTTCTGAGATGAGCTTAAACCCCGGAGAAGGTTCTAAGTAGAAATCCGTTCTAGGAGAGATCAGGGTCCAAATTGATCAGTTACACTAAAATCTACCTGAACCTACCTGGAAGGTCTAAGAGCTGCTGGGGGGGGGATCCTCCACCATCCCAATTATTAGTCCTCCAAAACCCTGACCCCCCAGGGTGCAGACCAGGAAGCAGAGTCCTAGTTTAACAGACATCTCTGCAGCTTCTCTACTGTTACCCACTCGTTACTCCATCCAGACAGTGTCTTGCCCACAACCAAAATGTAATAAATTAGCAAAGATTCCCAAAGGAGTAAATCATGATAATCTAATTAAAATTAAAATAATGATTAAATGTGGTCTGTTTAACATAAGATCTCTTTCCTCTAAAAGTCTGCTAGTTAATGACTTGATTTGTGATAATCACATTGACTTGTGTTGCCTTACAGAAACCTGGCTGCAGCAAGAGGATTATGTGAGCATAAATGAGGCAACTCCTTCAAGCTATTTAAAGTTTTTCTGGTATCTAAACTTGTCCTGTTTGATCTCAGCATTTCATCCAGTTGATCATAATATTCTTTTAGAAATTAAGGTTTGGTATGAATTAAAGGAACAGCTGGATGATCTGGGGAACGGTAAAGTGCCTTCAGATGACATGATGTGAACTGGCGCTGCTCCATCACAGCATTCACTGTTTGGCAGAGAAGCTTCCAGATGATCTGAAAACATCTTTCACTTCATCTGGTTCCTGTTCAGGATGTCGGCTGTTTTTCTGCTAATTTCTGCAGAGAAATGACTAAATAGTTGTGTGAAGGATGGAGAGTTTCTCAGGTTGGTAACAGGCTCTGATCTGATTGGTTGCCTTAAACATCCTGTCAAACAGGCTCCAGATGTGAAAGAATGCTCTGAAAGCGTGATCGGATCATGGTGGATGAAATCCATGCCTGGTTCCACACCAAGCAGACTGCGGGGCAGTCACTGAGATCTCACCCGGGCTGCTCGGTGGGTTTGGTTTCTGACAGCCGCTCTGAGGTCATGTGACTGTGCTGCGTTGAGTCACAGCAGGAAGACGGCTGTCAGGCTGTGTTCAGGCTGGTCACTCCGGCATGTCTGCTGCTGACCAGCATCATGGCTGCTGCTCTTCTCCGTCCTTTCAGAACGCTGCCTGCTGCCGTTTCCCTCGGCCCCCACGCCGGCGCCGTGTTTCCAGGACCATGTTCCGCCGCAGGAAGAAGAAGCACCGGCTGGAGATCTCAGCACCGCAGAACTTCCAGCACCGCGTCCACACGTCCTTTGATGTCTCCACCGGCCGCTATGTGGGTTTGCCGCCTCAGTGGCAGAGCGTCATCGACACGCTGAGGAGGCCACGCCCACTGGTGGACCCATCCAGGATCACAAACATAGAGCTGGAGCCCAGAAAGGTCAGAGGTTAAGTTTGATTCTGAACATATAGACCTATAAACATAGAGTGTAAATAAAGGGCTGATTTGAGGCGACTCCTTTTCCCAGTAAATATGCAGAAAATGAAAAATAAATTTAAACATTTTATATGAGCGACTTCTACATGAAAATGTTTAACCAACAGACGATAACGACCAATCAGAGGTGAGGAACAACGACACTCAACCTTTGATAAAATAAAACATTTTCCCTTTTAAACTTTGGATTAAATTAGCTTCATTGAGTTTAATGATTCAGTTTAATTGTTTGAAACTGTCAGAAGGTCAAAGGTTAACAGATCCGATTCCCAGACGCCATCTTTTCCCAGACGCCATCAGCTGGTTTCAGGAAGCGTCTGTTTGTTTGCCATCAGACCATCGTTCGCGGCAGCTTCATCGGCCACGGCGACTACATCAGCCACGTGATCTCCGAGATGAGCCGCGTGTCCGTCACCAGCTCCAACTCCCTGCGGCGCACAAGCCCGTCGGCACGGAAACGAGCCCAGTCGATGGGTCGGCTGGGGGAGCTGGCGGAGGACGAGTCATACCACTACCTGGAGATCAGTCGGCGAAGCAGCAGCGTCAAAGCCGGCGGCGCCGCCACCTACTGGCAGGACCGTATTCGCCAGGTGCGCAGCGAGAGTGGCAGCCCCCGAGTGAACAGGGACCTGCAGAGAACCAAGTCCAGCAGCCAGGTGAGTGCAGTTCCTGAGGAAGCTCCACTCAGCCCCAGCCCGCCGCAGATGGAGGAACCAGGGGCCCGGAGACAGAGACCCGCCTACCATCAGCACCATCTGCAGGAAGCGGAGAGCAGCAGGCCTCAGATGAGACCTAGACCAGGAGCAAACCACCTGCCGGACCTACTGGCCTCTTCCAGAGAGGGCCCTAGGAGGCCCCACTCTTCGTATGACCTGAAGGTAAGGCCCCTGGTCTCTGGCCAAGCTAAGGTTCCTTTAAACCACCTAAAGCACCGATTCTTCTCCAGCTGCCTTCTCCTCGCCCACGCCCGCCTCCACCCAGCAGCCCCATCAACACAGGCAGAGTGCTGCCTCCGCCCTCACCCCATCAGAAGAGCCCCCCGCTGACCCACCCCTCCCCCACCGCCTCCCCCGGCCCTCCCCCGGAGAAAGGTCCTCAGAAAGTGACCCATGAGCAGTTCAAGGCGGCGCTGCAGATGGTGGTGGACCCAGGGGACCCAAGGCTGACTCTGGAGAACTTTGTGAAGATTGGGGAGGGGTCCACAGGGGTGGTTTGCATCGCCCGAGAAAGACACAGCGGGCGGCAGGTGGCGGTGAAGATGATGGATGTGAGGAAACAGCAGCGCAGAGAGCTGCTGTTTAATGAGGTACCCCACACACACACACACACACTGTGGAGCATCAGCTACTTTTTTCATGCAGGGTGATCGGCGCCTCTTAGCATGTTCTGACTGAGCATTCAGAGCATGCTAGCCTTAGCGTCATGTTTTAAGATGAAGATTCACTCACCTCAGCCTGCTGGACGCCTGAGCGATCTCATTGGTTGATCTCAGAGATTCACTCACCTCAGCCTGCTGGACGCCTGAGCGATCTCATTGGTTGACCTCAGAGATTCACTCACCTCAGCCTGCTGGACGCCTGAGCGATCTCATTGGTTGACCTCAGAGATTCACTCACCTCAGCCTGCTGGATGCCTGAGCGATCTCATTGGTTGATCTCAGAGATTCACTCACCTCAGCCTGCTGGACGCCTGAGCGATCTCATTGGTTGACCTCAGAGATTCACTCACCTCAGCCTGCTGGACGCCTGAGCGATCTCATTGGTTGATCTCAGAGATTCACTCACCTCAGCCTGCTGGACGCCTGAGCGATCTCATTGGTTGACCTCAGAGATTCACTCACCTCAGCCTGCTGGATGTCTGAGCGATCTCATTGGTTGATCTCAGAGATTCACTCACCTCAGCCTGCTGGATGCCTGAGCGATCTCATTGGTTGACCTCAGGCTCCTGTTTCTCTCTAAGGTGGTCATCATGAGGGATCACAAACACCCCAACGTGGTGCAGATGTTCCGCAGCGCTCTGGTGGAGGACAAGCTGTGGGTCATCATGGAGTACCTGCAGGGCGGCGCTCTGACCCACATCATCGGTGAAACCAGGTGAGGAGCAGGTCCCTGGTCCGTATTTCACGGCGGGTTTTCAGCTTTCAGTAACCTCTGGATCTCCAGGCTCAACGAGGAGCAGATAGCCACGGTGTGCGAGGGCGTCCTGCAGGCGCTGTCCTACCTCCACTCCCAGGGCGTCATCCACAGAGACATCAAGAGCGACTCCATCCTTCTAACCCTGGACGGCAGGGTGAGCTAGCTTCTCCTTCCTCTTTGGTGGAACAACGCCACCTGGCTAATGGAAGAGAAAGAGCCGCCTACCTGATGAAATAGACCTCAGATCTTTGACAGCCTCCGTTTTCATAATCTAATCCATATAGAGGGTTAAATACGCTCTCTATGTTCGTTATTCCTGTTTGCTGTCCACCTGCGGTGGTGGCAGCATCATCCTGTGGGCTCCGTAGCTGACCACAGGACCAACACTTTTCCACTAGCCTCCTGCTTCATGTCGAAGGGACCCAGACCTGCACTGAACCTCCTGATCGCACATCTTTTACAGAAGTAGGAGCAGGAGAAGCTGCATAGAAGCATTCAATTCTATTCAGCTTATTTCTATAAAACTTTTCTGTGGTGAAGCAGAAAAGTGCTGAGGATGAGAAAGAAATTGCATTGCAGAAGTATTAAGGCATCACAAATAGTTTAGAATTAAAGGGAAACATAAAAAAGATAAATATCTTGAAAAAGAGAGAATAGATTATTAATCTGGATTAAACTGAAGGTTTCTTTATTCCCCATTAGTGGATCAGAGCCTCTGATTGTTCTGTTAAATCCTGCAGCTCTAGGTCTACGCTCTGCTGCAGCATCGAACGCGTTCCTTGGTTCCGCTGCAGGCTTTGCAGAAGGAATCACTGCCTGCTGCTGAAGGAACTCACCTTCTGTTTGAACCTCCTGCAGATAAAGCTCTCCGACTTTGGTTTCTGCGCTCAGATCAGCGAAGACGTCCCCAAGAGGAAGTCTCTGGTGGGGACGCCGTACTGGATGGCTCCTGAGGTGATCTCCAAGGCGCCATACGGCACCGAGGTGAGAACACAGAGCATCTGCCTTCATTTGGATGTTTTAGAAAGACGCTCCTCTGGCTGCAGGTCCACAGTTTTTGCAGACTAACTTTGCATTTCATGTTCTTTTGATCAACATCTATGGCATCATTTTGCTTTGCTTGCTGCAGTAACACTACGTATCGGATGTTGGCGCAGATTAGGGATTATTTTGGGATGTGAAATTTAGGCAGGAGTGAAATGGGCGTACATGTTGCCATTGCTCCTTACCTTTCCTTGTAAGCAATGGTCGCCTGGGGTGTGAAAAGTGACATCAGGCATTACTTCACGTGCATGAACTTTTGCACTAATGTCATAGGCATGATCACATGCATCTTCACCTGCGCTCAGGTCAGTGTCTGTTATTTGAACTGATTAGTGGTTTTGACAGATTTTTTAAGCCTACGCACTTATTCAAAGTGACCTAGTTTTTTGCAAAAATTGCATTTAGCATCTTGAGCTGGACATCGATTATGAGCATGAATGTTTCCACAAACATTCTGCATTCCTTGTTTGAGTCACCTGTTGCAGGCCTTAACTCAGCATAGGCAGCATGGGGATCAGTTGCTGGCTGCTTCATTTTCTGCTTCCCTCATCAACAACATCATCAACCTGTGAAGGGGAATAAACTACGCTTTTTCACGCTGCAGCACTGCTCAGCGACACAGAGGAGAGAGAAAGTGAAGCAGATTCTTTAAAATGTATAACTGCTCTATCTGATAATGATCTGGAACCTTCTTTTGGGGGAGGAGAACTCTGTTAAAGTAATCCTGAAGGTTATTAGAAAGTGGTCAGAGAGGACAGGGTTGTGAGGAAATACTGTTATTTCTTCACATTCTATGCCGTATGTCAGCACAAGATCCAAAGTATGAAGATGAGAATGTGTGGGACTATTCACATTTTGAACAAAGCCAATAGTGTCTAAGATAGCATTAAAGGCTGCTCTTAAGCTATCGCCTTCAATGTCAGCATGGATGTTAAAATCTCCCACTATGATGACCCTGTCAGTATTTAATACCAAATCAGAAAGGAACTCTGAAAACTCATCTAAAAATTCAGAGTAAGGACCTGGTGGACGATACAAAGTTACAAAAAGAAGAGGTTTTCCTGCCTTGAAATGTGGATCAGGGAAATTAAGGGTTAAATGTCCAAAGAGTTGTAGGTATTAACTGTTTTGGGAGTAATCAGTAAGTCAGACTGGAAGATTGTTGCTACTCCTCCTCCTCGCCCAGAACTTCTGGGGATGTGAAAATTTAAATAGCTTGAAGGAGTTGCCTCATTTATGCTCACATAATCCTCTTGCTGCAGCCAGGTTTCTGTAAGGCAACACAAGTCAATGTGATTCCTAGAAAGAAGAGCTGCACCATCCAAAGTGGGATGGATGCCGTCTCTCTGAATCAGACCAGAAGCAACACTAATTTTAGTGACCTCCGATCGGCGTAACCGGGTGTCATTACCGCCAGCGTGAATAACAATCTTACTGTATTTAACCTTATCCTTAGCCAGTAGTTTCAGGTAGGATTTGATGTCGCCCGTTCTGGCCCCCGGCAAACATTTGACTATGGTCCCTGGTGTCTCTAATGCCACGTTTCTGACTATGGAGCTGCCAATCACCAGAGTGGGCTTCTCAGTGGGTGTGTCACTGAGTGGGGAAAACCGGTTAGAAACGTGAACGGGTTGGTGGTGACCAGTGGGCAGAGATCCACGACTACGCTTTCTGCGTACAGTTACCCAATCGCCTGGCTGCTCAGGCACTGCTGGAGGACAGCTACGTTGGGGGCCTACTTTAACTCCTGGATGTTCAACAGCATGAAGCCTGGATTCTAACTCTGACACCCTCGCCTCCAAAGCTACAAAAATACTACACTTATTACACATCACATTATCACTAAAGGAGGCAGAGGAATAACTGAACATCTGACACAGAGAGCAGGAGAGAGGAGAGGAAGAAGGAAGAGTTGGAAAAGAGTGAAGGGAGGGAGAGAGAGAAGCCATAGCAATGCTAAGCTAGCGCTAGCCTAGGCTAGCTACTCCTTGCTATCAGAAATAAAACCGTGTGAAACTGACAAGTGCTCAGTAGAGAAGTGCAGCAGAAGGTGCTATGTTTTAAAGTAGTTCTTGTCAGTTAGAGTTACTAAGATACCGAGATATCACAGAGAAAATAACTTAATTCAGACGGAGATCTGGACAGCAACAAAAATCAGTAATCCAAACAGGAAGTGAACACGATACGTCTCACCAACAGCAGCAGTAGCTCCCTCTAGTGGCAGGAGTGGCAAACAAGAATCTCAGCGTTCTACTGGCTCCTTATCAGGCTTTACCATGAGAAAAATCTCTCAGTATGTTCGTATGAGGCCTGAACTCACCTTTTTAGGAAATGTCTTCTTCTGAAAATCTCCTTCTAATATTTACCTTCTCCCTTAGGTGGACATCTGGTCTCTGGGGATCATGGTGGTGGAGATGGTTGATGGTGAGCCTCCATATTTCAATGAAACGCCCATCAGTGCCATGAAGAAGCTGAGGGACGAAGCAGCTCCGTCAGTCAGGAACGTGCAGAGGGTTAGAAAAACACAACACCAGCGCATGTTGAGCTTTGCTATCTTCCTGGGACTTTGCAGTTCAGTTGAGAACTGCAAAGAGAACTGCTGGCAGGGAGTCAGACACAGCGCTGCTGATGCAGAGCGCTATGATCACTCCTCTGAAACAGTTTATTAACGCCTAAATTAACTTCTAATCCAGGTGAACAATCCCTCCTTTAACGACCTACCCTTCAGAATCATAGACAGGTTTCAGATATTACAGGCTAACAATGGAACCAAACGACCCTCTTGTTGGTTTCAGTTTGCATGTCTCCAAGCAACACAAGGCCTGGTCTATACAAAGACTCAAACTCACTGCGGATCCAGACATTTGGATTGAGAAAGCTTCCTGGATGGAAGCGAAATGTCTTCAAACCTTGGAAACCAAGTCCAGTGGATTGTTTTTAAACTTTTACGGAATGACTATGACCTGGATGACTGAGAATGTTCATCAGCATAGAATAGGAAAGGAAAAATAGAAAAAGGAGAAAAGATGAAAGAAAGAGGAGATAAAAGAGAGATAATGATAAAAAACATTTTCAGTCTGCTTCATCACCTGCAAAGAGATGTAAAAACAACAGAACAACCAACAGACATGGTACGAGACATACAATAAAGTAACACCTAGATACTATCGCTGAAGTATAAGTAGGATTATTTAATCTGACATGTACTCTGTGTTACCTGAAGATCAGAAGATGGACTTCCTGTGTGGAAGTGAATCTCTGAGTACCTGGAACCAAGCACCTGTAGTTGTTTTTGAGACTGCACGAGTGCATATAAAGTTTATCCAAAGCAAAAATGCTCAATAGTGGTTGTGGAGAGCCAAAGAGGCGCCCCCCCAGAGCACTGAGTCCAGTACCGGGAGACCCAAAGCCCCAGTCGCCCAAAGGGACCAGCCCAGGAAATCCAACTCCCACCTAGGGAGGAGGAGAAACAGCCCGGAGGAAGTGCCCCAACCACCGCAACGCCGGAGCCCCCTGGAGCCGCAGGGACGAGTCCATGAGCTCCGCCGGCAGCCAGCCACCCCAAAGTGAATCCGGCCCTGGGCCCCAGGGATCCGAGGCCCCAGGGGCACCCCATTCCCCGGCAGGAGCCCAACCCGGGTCAGTTGCCAGCTAGCCCAGGAGCCAGCCAGCGGAGGGAGAGCAGGAAAGGGGGAATGGGCTCCACACTTAACGGAGACTTGAGATGTTCTTGGGAGAGGAAGCAGTTCAGACCCCAACCTGGGAAAGAAAAAAAAACTCACAGTCTCAATCATGCCTTCCCACCCTAGTGCCCCCACTCACACCACACAGACTAAAATAAAAGATTGCGGACGCACATTCACACATATTGAAGCAGAAGGATGATCAGACAGATGGAAGTCTGGACAGAACCAATGAACTGAATCCATTCAACAAGCTCAGCATCTTTCTCTCCTGCCTACAGTCACATGGACGTCCTGCCCTCCTCTGACATCACTTCCTGCTTCTATTATCAGTCAGACCAGCAGGTGGTGCTGCTCCCTCCACCTTCCACCTGTCTGTCTCTAGAAGTCAGTAAAGAGGCAACTAGAGTTGCCATATAGCTAAGGCAAATTTAACTCACGTTCTGGTCATGTAACAAATTGTGCAACTTCTGGTCCACAATTTTTCAGGTCAATTTTAAAGGCTCTCCAACCCAGTGCTGAATTGGCAATATTTGGAATTCCAGGGGAGTGAATATCACAAACACATGATTTTAAAAATGTACTGGCTTTTTCAACCCTCCTCACCGAAGAAGAATACTATAAGCTTGGAAATCAGAACACCCACCCAAGGCTTCTCTTTGGTTTAAATATCTGTTCCTTAAGTTAGAGAAGATCAAATTTAGTGTTGGACGCTCAGGCCAAAAAGAACTTGGGCCCCTCTATCATCTCCAGCCTGAAAGTCACACAGGAGCTGGCTCTGCTGTGTGGGTGCCGGTGCCCCCGGTGCCCCCGGTGCCCCCGGCCCGATGGCCTCGATGGTCCCTTGTGGTTTTGGCTGTCGACAGTGATTGTCCATCTGTACAGTTTTTAGCATCCTTGTCCTGTCCTGTGCAGTTTCTTGTTTATACCCTGTCCATGTTTTTGAGTTCTGTCTCGGCCTTCTGGGGTTTTCATGCTTCTGTTTTTTTCAGCTGTATAATTAATAAAAAAAAGAGGCAACTGGAGAGACTGAATGGTAATCAATCAGCAGGTCCTGATGGTGTCAGAGTCCTGAAGACCTGAGCAGAGCAGCTCTGTGGGATTCTACAGCACCTCTTCCCCTTTAGTTTGACCCTGGAGGCAGTTCCAGGGACGTGGAAGACCTCCTGCCTTCATCCAGGACCAAAGAAGACTCTCTTCTAGGAACTCCTCTAGAACCTTTGGAAGAACTCTTCATAAAGTGAGGAACATTATGGACAACAATGAACATCCACTTTATCACACAACAAACACCAACAGAGGGTCCTCAGTCAGAGGCTTCTCCAGATCTGATGCAAGACAGACCTCTACAGGAGATCCTTCCTGCCCACAGCTATCAGCATCTGGTTAAGAAAACACCCCCTATGAGTTACTGTGGCTTTTCATGTCCTTTAGGGATTAATAACGTACTTTGGAAATGAAATGGATTGTTTTCTACATGAGGTCCTGCTCTGTGAACCCGATTGGTGGAAATATTGGTATTGATTTTTTAATAAGAGACTTCAGGACAGAAATTAATCTTCCAGAAACTCTAGAGGGACTCTAGAGATCCATGTGGCTGAAATAGAAATAGAAATAGATTTATCAAACCACACACAGTACAGCTATACAAAAAAGACAAATGCTTCACATGTTAAATTACAATCTGCGATCTAAAGCACAAACAAACTTCTTTGCATTGGTTTACAATCATTATTTTAAGGCCAACTTTAAATGATGCTTTCTGTGTCATGATGTACAGGTGATTCTGTGGCGTAGGAGTTACCTGCTCACGTCCCTCTGTTTCCTTTCAGTTGTCTCCAGTGCTGAAAGACTTCCTGGACTGCATGTTGACCCGTGAGACGCCACAGCGCAGCGGCGCCGTCGACCTGCTGGAGCATCCCTTCCTGCTGCAGGCTGGTCCGCCCCGATGCCTTGTACCCCTAGTGGAGCAGCACCGCAAACGAATGTCGCTCTGCTGAGGGTCACTTATTCTTCTTGTGCTTCACCTGGAAGCACAAATAAAAGACAACATATCCGTGTGGGTTAAGCCCTGAGACCCAAAGGACAATATCTATGAGAGACATCTGAGCTCCCCTTAAGTCACTACCTGAGATCATACCTGAGACAGACACACCTGGACACTTGAGAGACACCGTGACACTGCAGAGACACACCTGGACACTTTACAGAAACACCTGGATACTTCAGAGACACACCTGGACACTTCAGAGACACACCTGGACACTTTACAGAAACACCTGGATACTTCAGAGACACATCTGGACACTGTCGAGAGACACACCTGGACACTTCAGAGACACACCTGGACACTGCCGAGAGACACACCTGGACACTTCAGAGACACACCTGGACACTTCAGAGACACACCTGGACACTGCCGAGAGACACACCTGGACACTTCAGAGACACACCTGGACACTTTACAGAAACACCTGGACACTTTACAGAAACACCTGGATACTTCAGAGACACATCTGGACACTGCAGAGACA